ATACTGAGCATCTTTCTCTTTGACACCATGTCTGATATCCCACGTGATCTGTCAAATACTAATGCATGAAAATCCTAACCTCAAAAAAATCACCCGATATATACTTATGTACTTCGCTTTCATATGTCATACCAAAGGTCGCTTAAATTTTTGGTTGTAAATAGCGCCTTTATACTATGTAGTGCATAGACGCGTTTGCCAACCTTATGTTAAATAAATTCTTAACAGTGGTGAGGGTTTTAACAGATAACTGCTTTAAAAACATAACATAAATATGTTGAAAATTGGATTGTAATATAAAAAATATTTATGGTAACTAAATACATTATGCACACATACATAGACATATTTGAAACAGACGCGTACTTTTATATAACTTTATATTTAAAGCGTAAACACATATGTTAGGTTAGCTAACCGAAGCACATACATATTTAACCAAAAAAGAATGTTGTTTTTATTATTGCAAAAAAAAACATAATAATTTTAATATTTTTTTATTTATTATATAGTTTTAACTAAACTTGTATTATGTAAGCGTAATAAAACGGACCTACATATTTATCAATAGTTATAGCATTGTATTTACTAACCCAAAAAAAAAAATCTCAAATGTAATTACATACATATACACGTAAAAATACATACATACATATTATACGAGTAATATAATTATTAAAGAAATATATAGAATTGTAAATTGATTGTATAAAATCAAGCATTTTTCTTTAGAAGGGCTATGAGGTAAGTTTTTCTCGCAAAATTGAATCAGCTGATTTTTAAACATATGTAGATGATAACATAATCTGTGAACTTATGTGTGCTGACTTTTTCACACATCCGCTGCTAACTTATTTCAAGTTTAAATACATACATATGCATATACATAAGTACATATTTGGGTAGCACAATTAGTTTCTATGTAAACGCTATCAAACGCGCGTGAGAATCGTTTGGTAAATAGATTTGCCCCTGGTATTATGACAAATGAGTCTTATGATAACGATTGAAAACTAAGTACTTAAGCACAACCGACTGAGTCGTCAATGCCGGTGGTTGGGTTGTACTGAATAGAAAGAGATCACGTGCGCTCCATTTGAAGAGCGTAAAATATACATGTGTAAGAGCACTAGTAGAGCTCTCATGGGATGATCCATCAAGCGACAAAAATACCTGTATAAATTTATTAATATACATATGTATGTATATGTGTTACGCATACGGCCTTAAAGCCTAGCATAATTATGTGTGCCAATATGTAATAAGCAATTAACAGTATTCTGTTAAATATTACATATTTTTATCACGAGTAGCGGAAATGAGGGGAAAGCTTTATTTGTTGCTCATTTCTTAAATTTCTTTATCACTTTTTATTTGAATTACCAATTTTGAGGTACAATAATACTCATATACGCTTGTTGGATGAGCTCCTAAAGTAATAGGAAGCCGGTTACAGTAAAGCTGTTAATTTACAGAGTTATGATTGCACATTCTTAAAGAAGGTCCTAATAAGTCTTCAAATTCAAGTGGGAGCATATACACTACATATATAACCATAATAACCGTTATAAATATGTTTACCTTTTCCGTCAACTTCTTTGTTTCTTTTTTGTTTTTTTGTGAGTTTATTTTTTGCAAATTCTTTTACAACTTAATAAGCCAATTTGATTAAATTGATAAAATCTTCCTTTATATCGGTCATAATATATTAACATATATTATACACACATACATATATGTATATTATATGGGTCTAGAGATAGATTGTTGGCTTCGAACCCCATTTTTCAAAAATCCTTTATTAATATAACTACACTACTGCTTACGATTTATCTTGAATAGGCACAAAAACAATTGATTGGACAAAAAGACAACACAGGGTGTTGTTAAACAACAAAACTCACATGTGAATTGAATGAAAATTCTGCAATTTACAATTTAGTGAAAAAATTTAACAAAAAAAATTGTGTTACAGTGAAAATCAAATAAAGATGTCATTTACTTCACGTCTCTGTCGTGTTATAAATTCGTCTACACACGTGCAACGTTATGCAACGCGCAATATCTTCGGCAGCACACAGGCGGCATGGTCTTTGCGCTGGAACAAAAATCTAGGAAGAAATAGTAGGCCAATATTCATATATTTTTAGATAACATATACATTTATTTAAGCCATTGTTTACTTGGCAGTCCCCCAATTTGCTCGTTACATGAGTACGGAGTCGACAGCTTCAGCGAATGTTGAAGACAAGGGTCGTTTCCACACTATTATCAGACAAACTGAAAAGCCGGTCGGCAAGGCTGATAAGCATGAATTTCAAGCTGAGACACGCATGTTGCTGGACATTGTCGCGCGTTCATTATATTCCGAAAATGAAGTGTTTGTTCGGGAATTAATCTCGAACGCTAGTGATGCCTTGGAGAAATTCCGTTACACTGTCCATACCGCTGGTGAAAATGAGAAGAACTTTGAAGCCGCCGATCGGCCATTAGAAATACACATTGCTACTGATAAACAGTCAATGCAATTAACGATACAGGTAAAAATTAAATAACATATTTTTATGCAAATCTAATATTTTGAATGTTTTTCCAAATGATATTCACACTGAATTTGTAGGACACAGGTATTGGCATGACTCGCGAGGAGCTTGTCAATAATCTCGGTATGATTGCACGCAGCGGTTCAAAACAATTCTTGGAACAGATAAAGGAAGCAGGTGGTGGCGTCGAAAACTCCTCGAATATTATTGGACAATTCGGTGTTGGTTTTTATTCCGCCTTTATGGTAGCTGATAAAGTGGAAGTGTTTACAAGGTCCTCGAAAGTGGATTCACAAGGATTACGCTGGTCGTCTGATGGATCGGGGTCATATGAAATTCAGGAAGCTGATGGTGTAGCACATGGCACTAAAATTGTTATACATTTAAAAACAGAATGTAGAGAATATGCAGATGAGGATCGCATTAGAGGTTTGAATTAAAAAAAATAATAATTTGAAAATAATAAATTATATAATTAATATGTTTCGATAGCGGTGATCAAGAAATATAGTAACTTCGTTGGTTCACCAATATTTTTGAATGGTCGACGCGCTAATGACATCCAGCCCTTATGGTTAATGGAACCGAAAGATGTGTCACAAGATCAGCATAATGAGTTCTATAGATTCATTGGCAACACTTTTGACACACCACGTTTCGTATTGCATTACAAGGTAATACGATACATACGAAAATGAAGTCTATTATACATGAAATGAAATAATGAAATTATTCGCAGACTGATGTGCCACTCAGCATTCGTGCTTTGCTCTACTTCCCCGAAGGTAAACCGGGTTTATTCGATATGACACGTGACGCTAATGTGGGCGTGGCTTTATATACGCGAAAGGTTTTAATACAATCTAAAACAGAAAACCTGGTGCCCAAATGGCTACGATTTATTAAAGGTTCGATTTTTCATTAATGGATTAATAACAATTTTCTAATCTTTCCGAATATTTTTACTTCTTAAAGGCGTTGTGGACTCCGAAGATATACCCTTAAATTTAAGTCGCGAACTTCTTCAAAATAGCGCTTTAATCAAGTTAGTATTACTTATAAAATTTTTATATGATTTACTTGCATAACTTTTTATTACTTTTCCAGAAAGCTGTCTAATGTGCTAGCAACTCGTGTGCTACGTTTCCTGCAGGAACGTGCGAAAAAGCAGCCTGAAGAGTATGCTGCTTTTTATAAGGATTACGGTCTATTCCTCAAGGAAGGCATTGTTACGTCAAACGATCACAATGAAAAGGAAGGCATTGCCAAGCTTTTGCGTTTCGATTCGTCAAAGAATGCGGACGGCAATCGTATATCCCTCTTAGATTATTGCACAAATGTTGGTGAACAAAAGGATATATACTATTTAGCAGCGCCAAATCGCGTACTCGCTGAATCGTCTCCTTATTATGAAAGCTTGAAGAAACGAGGCGTTGAAGTGTTATTCTGTTATGAACCCTATGATGAGCTTGTCCTCATGCAATTGGGTACATTCCAAGGTAAAAAACTAGTATCTGTTGAAAAGGAAATGCGTGAGGATAATGCGGGTGAAAAGGCAACAGACTATGGTGAAGGCAGTTTGTTACGTTCGCAGATCGACGAACTCATACCCTGGATACGAGAGAAACTTAGTGGCAAAGTTGTGAATGTTAAGGTCACAACTCGCCTTGACACACATCCTTGTGTGATAACAGTAGAAGAAATGGCAGCTGCGCGACATTTCATTCGCACACAGAGTCATCAATTGCCCGAGGAGAACCGTTTCGCTTTACTGCAGCCGCAATTAGAGATAAATCCTAAGTAATTTCATAAATCAAATATTTTAACAGCGCAAATTTTAATTCATTTCTCTCTCTCATTCTCTCTTTTTATAGGCACGAAATTATAAAAAAATTGAATAAGCTGCGCACAAGTGATCCTGAGCTTGCGGAGTTGGTTACGCAACAGCTTTTTGCGAACGCTATGGTCGGCGCTGGGCTCGCCGAGGATCCGCGTACGCTTCTGCTGACAATGAATGATTTGTTGACAAAAGCTTTGGAGAAACACTAGAAAATTGTTATAAAATTTAAATTAGTTTTATGTATATTTTTTTAATTGAGCAAAATTAACACTAACGTTTTCCCTTTGGTGTGTGAATGTACAAAGACAAGAAATACTTAACCTTATGCTACACAAATAATTTTAATTTTGAAAATGAATAAAAAAAGAAATGTTATAAAAAGATTTAGCTATTTTTTATACATACGCAAAGTTTTACATATGTATGTTGTGTTTGATTTTTTGATAATATTCACTTACAATAACACCTTGTAAGCCAATATGAAAATAGTTTTAGTAGGTTTGGAATTTTTGTTTGTTTTGCTTTTTTTTCGAACAATTAACTAAAATCGTTTCGAGAATTTTATGATTTCGAGATTTGTGTTATAAATTAAAATATCGAATTATTTCATAATAATGGAACCACCTAAAGACAAATGGAATATTGTGCTACTTGTATTTATTTTACATGGCATTGGCACATTGATGCCATGGAATATGTTTATAACGGCAAAGAGTTATTTCGTTGAATTCAAATTAGGCGGCGGAGATTCAAATTCTACAAGTGCTTCAAATTATGCAGCGAATTTCTTACAATATCATGGATTTGCGGCTCAAATTCCCAATGTGGTATTTAATTGGCTCAATGTGTTTTTAAATTTGGGTGGAGATTTGACGACACGAATGGCGATTAGTATATTAGTGGAGCTGTTTATATTTGTGGTTACAGTTCTTATGGCCATGGTTGACTCTACAAATTGGCCCGGCGCCTTTTTTTGGATAACAATGGTCACAGTAGTCGTTTTAAATATGGCTAGCGCTGTTTACCAAAATACTATATTCGGAATGGTCGCCACCTTTCCATTTAGATATACTGGCGCGGTAATATTGGGATGCAACATTTGCGGCCTCTTTGTCTCTTTAATAAGTATTGGGAGCAATTATATATTTCCTACAATTAGAACTGCTGCAATTTATTACTTCATAACGGCGATGGTGCTTTTGTTATTTTGTTATGATACCTTCTTCGCAATACCTTTGAACAAATTTTTCATCTATAATCAACTTTCGCGAAAAACGGAAGGCAGTGAAATTGTGAAAACTTCGGATATACCTTATTGGACTATCTTTAAAACAGCATCTATGCAGCTGTTTAATGTATTTTTAATATTCTTTGTAACTTTGGCGGTTTTCCCTGCCGTAAACTCTGATATTAAAGCTTCGTCATCGGATTTTTTCATAAAGGACCCCATAATGTATATACAAATTACCTGCTTTTTAACATTCAATTTATTTGCGATGCTCGGAAGTTTGACATCATATTGGATACAATGGCCTGGTCCGAAATATTTGGTCATACCAGTTGCCTTGCGATTGGTTTTTATACCGTTATTTCTGTTTTGCAATTATTTGCCTCTAAACATCGATAGAAGTCTGCCAGTTTTAATAAACAATGATTGGATATACTGGATTATTGGTGTTTTAATGGCATACACTTCCGGATACTACAGTGCTCTGGCAATGATGTATGCACCACAGACAGTTGAACAAAACCAACAAGTCAAAGCGGGAATGTTCGCCGGTGCGATGCTCATAAGTGGGATTTTTTGTGGAATTTTGTTTTCATTCATAACTCCTTATTTAGTCTAATATGAAATAAATTGAAATATATATATTATGAATACCCTTTTTACCGAAATTAAAAATTAACAGTTACAAACTTCAGGATTTCCGGACATATAGATTTCCTATACACTGATATATATATACATGTATATATTATTTGTGCATTGCAAGACAAACTCTTCAAAAATAAAGTATGTGGTTTTATTTTATATAAATTCAATTTATTAAATTGCGAAATTATGAGATAGCCTAGAGTTATTAAAAAAATTCTTATTGGCGTTGTCGCCGTAATCTACCACCTAACATTAAAAAATGCGACCCTGTTTCAAGTGAATAGTCTTATGGAATAAAAAGCAAAATGTAGCATAGCGCGTACTCGCTCTGCTGGCGAGAGAAGAAGAATTACCGAAATACCTCTCACGTGCTTCTCCACTTGTACGCTCATTAATATACTTAGCATGTGAATGTGTACTCAATACTCCTCTTATCCTCACTATTTCTATTAAGAATATGATCTACGTTCCATGTAATAAGCTCAAACTCAAGCAATGTTCCCAGTATTCGAATTATTACCTTTTTATAGCCTTTCATTGTTAATTTGGCTTACGGTGCTTAGGTTTTTATAGGTATTTTATTGAAAAGCTGAATATTTTATGGTCACGCGCAGTTCGAAGGGAAAATTTTTAGTCGTACACACACACTGCTGCATCTGGTTAGATGCGCGTGTGACGTTTTCTCCTTTTCAGCGCACCCTTGCCCCAACCCAATGCTGCTTCTAAATAACTTGGTCATATGACCACTAGTTTAATCATGCGTATGCAACAACTATACTCGTATAGCCATGCGATAACATTTGTCTGAGCGGTTTGGCTATATATTAAATATTTCCATCGAAAGTGACAACTGGTATATGATTGGAAGGCAGCAAACACTACGAGCTGAACAACAGCCGAGTTTGGCGTTCAGTGAAGAAATTGAAATCACTCACAGTGTTGTCAGCGACCGAACCGACCAGTTCTTGTTCGAACTCCTACGCTTTAGCAGCAAGTTACCAGTCAAGACCCAAGAAAGGCCTAAAGCTAACCACAAGTTAGTCAAGTGAGTGTTGTAAATGTGCAATCTGTGATAAAAGTTTTGAAAATATATATGACATACGGTCTGCTTAGTGTGTTGAAGTTGAAGAAAAAAGTGAAGGGAGGGAAATTATAGCTGAATTGAATTTGTACTGTTTGCTGAAACGATTTTGAGAGGCATCAGGCAGACAATAGTCGATTCACTTCAAACATCCCCAGGGGAAATTGGAAAGAATACGCAATAACAGAACACAGGCAGAGGCAGAAAATTGCCACGACGATTGCTGAAACACAAGGCAAAAGAAAGTGGGCAAAGGAGCTTCTCTAATTTGACAAGTGAGCACAAAGAGTAGTGACTTTGCGAATGTGATATAAATAAATAGGTACGGAATCTCTTCGATTTTTATTTAACAACTCGAGAATTGCAAACTTTATTGCTTTAGGAAAATAACGATATCCGGTAAAGCATAGTAATAATACATTGTGGGGTACATTTTTCCAATATTCTGTCTAGTTACAAATTGAAATCAAGAGGTAGACGGTCAGTAGCAATAATTAAATCGAAGTGTAGAAACGAATAAAAATTCGATAAAGTGCAATACATCGTCATACAAGACAAAAAAACAACAACCACGAGAAGGTACGAAAAATACAACATTGTACACGAACGTAGCAACGATAGAAGGTGACGACAACGGTGCCGACGTTAGCGACGAGACAAAATCAAAAACGAGACGTAACGAAGCGAAACAATTGAAGAGAGAACAGCAAAAACAGTAGTTGAGTCGACAAGCAGTCAAGCAGCAGTCAAAGTGAAGAACTCAGAAATTTGAAAGTGCTATCAAGTAAAAACGCAAATTAAATTTTACATCTTCTATATTTTAATTATAAAAGCAAAAATACGTTGTAAAACAACACAAAAAATTGAAAAAAAAAATAAGCAGGAACGTACAAATTCGCAAGAATAGTACTTCAGGAACTCGCTTCAACACACCTACAACAGAACCGAATTTAATAATATAACTAATAATAATAATATAACGACTGCACATCTTGAACAGCAAGTCCTAACGTAAAAATCAAATAAATTTTCTTTTTCGTAGAAAAACTTACAAAACACCCCGCACATACACAATAAAACAGAATCATGTCTGATGCACAGAGCGATAACCCAATCTACGGACCCTTCTTCGGAGTCATGGGAGCAGCCTCAGCCATCATTTTCAGTGGTAAGTAAACTATTCGGAAACAAAAATTCTTGCATTAAAAAATACGATGACAAAGTGGGACTGGCTTGGAAAGATATGTGAATTACACAGGTAGATGAATATGATTTGGTATCTGAATGGTTAGCTACTTGCGGTCAGGAGTTTATTACGGTGGTTTATTCGTAGTTGTATTAAATAGAGGTTATCCTGAGACCAGTATTACACAAAATGTACAATTAAATATATATATTTTTTTATTTTGTATGAACATGTGTAAAAAATCGAACATTTTGGCAGGCGGATTGCGAAAAAGGGATGAAAAGGAATTGTTGGGAATTTTCTTGGCACATGTGTACGTATATTCAGTATTTTTTCGGGAGGAGGCAGATGGAAGGTCGGTGTTTTATATACATATAATCGCATATACTTATGTATATGAAAAAGAAAATGAACTTTCATACTATATCGGCAAAAATGATTCTTTTGCATAGTTTATAGGAAATTTGTAATGCAATAGCTTCATCATATTCTAATTTGGTATTATGAAAATAACTGCAACATTGAAGCTATTCTAATGCGGGTGACATACGGCATATATTAGTAATTTTGCTATATATATATATATAATTTTTTATCCAATATATGATTACAAATTATTTGCTGTGCGTTGCGTTGTGATATTCAACTTAACCAAAAAACCGCTTAACACCCTCTATTAATGCGTGAATTGAATGTACAATAGTAACCTACAATACTTTTTATCATCACGCGCTCTCTTGTTAGTTGAAAAGAGCAGCAATATTGGTCAGCTATTTGAATAAAAACAATGCAAAGAGAATAAGGAGGAGAAAGAGCACTTAAATCTGGAAGGAAATGAGTCAACTACCACAAGCGCCAAGTGGAGCTCAACAACCAATAATTGTAGCATATGACAGAGAACCAGTTTGAATGTGGCTTGTGGGGTTTTTCAGCGATGGGGTGGGTGGTGCAAATTTTAAGGTTAAGCTTCAGTTGCGTATGGCAGCAGTGCTTCCAAAAACAAATGTGAACATTGTTCATTTCTGACAAGTCATGAGACTTGCTCATGTTTCTTTACCTTGCGCAGTATTGCCATTGCTCAAAATTCCTTGAATTTAAGGTTTTGGTTGTGCAATTTACACACATATGCGATATTTTCAAATTCATATATCCGGTTTTAATACTGTATTGCATAAATAACTGGCAATTGCAATAATCACATGCTTTCGCTTGATATCACATGGTTAACTGATAATGGTTTTGATAAGAAAATAAACACAAGTTACAGAACGGAAAAAATATCTTAATGTACATACATACTATACGCTTCTATAACTTTTTAAAGCATCCAAAGGTTCAGTGTATAAACTTCTTAAAATTAGAATGTTTTCTTTAATGTCACATGGCTTGTCCATTGCATGATTTAAGAAGATATGGTTATGGTTCGTGTCCTCATTACGTAATATTAACAACTTATAATCATTATTGTAATATACAGATGTCAGTAAATTTTCAACTTAAAAAATCTTTTAAATATTTTTAAAGAATTATATGACCATACTGGTTGCGTATACGTACTTGTTTTTCGCATATTTCTCTATTTTCTTATCCTAAAAACGGAGTTAGTTTACTTTTAAGTCATTGTTGCATATATTCATTTAACGTCTTTACGATATCATAGGCACGACTTGATACTGTTGAGTAGGTTATATAGTCACATGATTAACTGTTACTGTATTTTTCTAATTGTGCAAATGCTCGTTAATTTGATTTTTCGATTCTTCCTTTTCTCTCTGTTCGCTTACTCTTATTTCATTGTGCTTCGTCGTTGATATTCCGATAATCACATTGAGTCATTCACATTCTCTGAACAAAAACAATTATATTTATATGTAAACATACTCCGAGTCATGCTTTGGTCGTTATTACGAAGTAGTGTATTTATTTTATTTGAAATTAATTTAATTTTTTAAACTTCTGAAGATACATATATCAGTTATATAAAAATCAAAACGAAGTATCATCAAGTGACACATAATAGAATGGAATACATGATTTTTTTTTTATTAGAAATAAAGCTTATCCATAAAATATTTTCGGAACTTTAACTTAACATATAAGCTAATAGCATTTAGTAATTTAACAGTTTCAGTTTAATTATTGTAATTTTTGTCATTTACTGCCTCCCTATGAATTCGTGTTAATCCGGTTTACAAAAATATATTCGACACGCTTGTTAATATATTATTGAGTAGTAATTTTGCTGGTCATAACTTTGAAAGGTTTCATTTCATTGAACTTTACGCTTATGTGCATAATTTTATATGCTCTACATTTCTCTTCATATACTTTACCGCCTATTATGCATGTATGTATGAATGTATATGTGGCTTTGATTTATATAGAGCTTCTTATCTCTGAATGTTCAAACGCCCTTTTTCAGCCATTAAATAAAGATGAAAATTGAAGTTCATTTGTAGTTTTTCTAACCAAATTCCACTTTTCGTGGTAGTCACGTGACACTTGAGCAGTTATTAATAACATCTTTTATTTTGACTTTTCAAGCGCAACGCTATTCGTGGGTGTTTGCTATATTTTACTACACGAGCATGTCTAGACGCTTACGCTTTGTTCATTTAATTTTTTTTTTTTTTTTTTAACTAATTTGCAAGCTTTTTGTGTGATAATCTTCGTATTTTTGCAGCATCTTCTTTGTGCAAATTTGTATATGTATGTCTTTTCCCCCGGATTTTCATACAAGGGAGAGAAAAATTACACTTTCTTGCTAATATAACTTTACAAATGAGCATAATAATGACCTCCATTGCTCTGTGCTTTCTGCTACGTTCTCTCTTTCTCAGATCGAAAATATTTTATTTTGCAATAAATCCGTACTTGCATCCGTCATCAATTGACATCCATTTAGTCAATGGAAAAGAGCGTCCATATTTCTATTTAAAAGAAGCATTTATGCTTACGCACATTTCATTGGCACTTGCATTAATTTATTGCTGAGCATACATGTTCTCATGCTTTCACACATTTGTACATATGAACATGTACGCATGTACATATATTGTATAGTTGATACTTTTTAAATTTATTTTGTATATAAGCTTTGATGTACTTTCTATTTATTATTTCGCTTTCAATGCTAGCGAGATGTTACACGTTTTAAATCTCCAAACAAAGCGAATGGAGACTTATGCGTTTTTTATTCAGATTTATTTTATATAATATAATGGTTTATAGTCATTTACACAAAAAGTGTCATATCATTTTACTAATCATATAAGAGCACCGTTACTTTCGCATTTTACTTAAGAATTTACAATGGGCATCTTGCTCCAAAACAATTCATGCAATTATTATTGAAGTTATTCCTATGGGAACTAAGCTCCCGCGTGTTAGAAATTCTTCACATTCTTTCGTAGCTTTTATTCTCTTACATGATTTGTTTTTTACGTTGCTCCTTGAATTCTCATTGTTTTGTTTGTTTTATTATGTCTGCCACATTGGCTCACATTGGATTTAACTATACATTCACTAGCACATCCGTACGTTTTTGTACTCAACTGTGACGTAAAATGTTTTTAAATATGAATTCTATAAAAGAGAATACAAATGTATGTATGTACATATTTAGATATCAAGCAATAAGAAAAATGTGCCTCATTGTTGTTTTATTGGCATGAATTTTCTGTCTGCGCGTTGTATGCCAACCAACCCGTTTTCTTTTCGATCCCGCATATTGCCGCATTACTGAATGGTTTTATTGTGATAGTTTGATTAACAATATATTTAAATTTTGTTTTGATTTCGTGCAAAATGTTTACTACTACTTGCGATTTATTACAAAGCTTCTGCAGCTCACCCGTAAATTTGCAAAATTGCATGAAATGTCTTTCGGGTCTCAAAAGAGATTCTCAAAAATATTAAATACTCAAAATATGCGGCTGACTGTGTGCTCTATGCATACACAAATTAGAATTCTAATGCAAAAAAGTGATTAAACAGCAATTAGTTAAGTCGTTTCGTTATGCAAAAAAGCGGTTTCAAAAGACGTTCAATGCCAAGTCCCAATGTAAATCCAATTTTACTTTCAAATTATTTAATACACAAGGAATGTTTTTAGAAGCGAGTATATTTATGGTTAGCGTAACTTGGTTGCTAGCAAAAGCGAATGCACGTACGACTGTTATAGCTAATCTACTAATTTAGCATCGCCAATGGAAGTGTACATAAATTGGTTACTGCTGTCGGTATATACATGTACGTTGAAAGATGTAGGGAGATCTCAAGGAATAAATTACTTAATTTCAGTGTAGCTTTTTATTGACTTATGGCGGATCGTTGCTTATACATTCCTATGCATATTATTTACATTGCTGTTGTAAATGGAGTACCAAATCACTTAATGGTCGTTATGATAAACATTTCAATAAATCACAATTATGACATTTCATTTTTTTATTATTAGTAGTTAACAGCGCCATTTTTACTTTGCTTATAAAATTTCGCAATAAAATATTTCATAATTTCCTTTTCTCATAATAAGTTTTTATAAGTAAAGTAATATTGTCAATGCAAGTATAGAAATCATAAAGATATTATACATTTGAATGAAATATTAAAATTAAAAATATTTTTCAAAGTTCATGTTGTGTCAGCTGATCAGAGCGATTCGCTCTTTTTCTGATACCCTTATTTTTACGCACTTAATCGCTATCGATTGTTTTGCGAACAACAATTTGCTGGCAAGCAAATGTTACGCACGAAGTGATTTATAAATATGCCTTGTACTGTTAATTAGCGTGAAATCACATGACTGTCATTATACCTGATATCAGAGTGGCTAATATTACTTCACTCCCAACTCCACCTTGTACTGCAGGCGAATATTGACACACAATACATACAAAGAACGCTTACTGATGATCGCTCAGCCAATAATCAGCAAGCGTCAAATTAAACAAAATTTTCGACATTTGTCAAATGAATGAATTCTCTATTATTAAGTGCCATAGGCGAAATTTGAACAATATTACATGGTTTTGAATATAATTATCTATGCAACACATACATATGTATATATGTCCATGTTATTGCAAAAAAATATATATAAAATATATGGATATTCATACGTATACACATATTATATATATGCATGTGTATGTATGTATTCCACGCTTTTTCGGTTCGAATTTCAACTTTATGTTTCAAACGTTGAGTATTTTCTCTGACGTTCGCTTTACGTCTGGTTTGCAAACTTAATTGATTATTATATTTATTTTGCTCGCTATCGGCTATAACCGGTTATTTCTCATTTTATAAAGCGAAGTTCGATAAAAGCGATCGTGTATTTTTAATTACAATTGCCATATTCATTGACATGTTTACGTAGTAATAAAGTTGGGGATGGGGAAAATTCGATGACTCACCCATTGCAATATGAGAAAAATCACCGATAAATGAATTTATATTCGGTGTAAAACCAATATAAAATTTTTACAAAAAAGCAATGTATAAGTATATTTATGTACGTTTATTTGCATAACACGAATACCTTATTTCGCTTTAATAATACTTATTCTAGAAATTCATTCTTATCTAAAACTGGTAGTTCTTATCGCTTGCAAGGCATATCTTTACAACTGCTTTTTATTTGAGTATTCTCATTTATTATAAACTCAAGTATTCTTGTTTCTCAAAAGCAGCTTTGAAGAATATGAAATACACGATTTTTTCCCTCGTACTGCACCTGCTTTACTGTGATTTACTCACGATAGCTACTCTCTTTTTTGATCAACTTCTATCTATTCTATCTGGTCTATTCGCTTTTGTGTGAAATGTGCTTGGATTTCTCATACTACGAAGGTTTTTATTTACTCTGCCTTTTATCACATTGCTTGCCGTCTCTTTTAATGACTGCTCAATTTTTTGTGATAATTGCATTACTGTCATGTGACCAATATTACAGGTGAATATTATATAAAATAATTACGAACTTAACGATTGGTTGAAATAATACAAAAACGAACAAACATGTACAAAACCTGAAACGTTCGGTTATTCTCCTGTAAAGCAGTTAATCTTTACCAAAAAATGAAAAAATGAAAATTTTAACAATTTATTATGATTTTTTCATTTTCTTATTTGTATATTGTATTAAAAATGTAAGTTTCACGGTTTTGGTTTCCAACGTTGGTGTGAGTAAAATTTGAAAAATACTGGGAAATTTCTATATACAATATGTATCTCTAAAATGAATGAAAATTTTTGTTCTAATTTGGTTTCGGCTTGAATTATTAAAAGTGTCAGACATTTAATTGTATTTTCCCAAGCGATCGCAATTATATAAAACTTATAATTCATATTTATACTTAACTTTCCGGTTGTATATTTTTCTTTCTAAATCAGAAAATACTTGTGAATATTAATTTTTCACCACTAGTTTGCTTTTTTATTTTCCAGCTCTGGGAGCCGCCTATGGTACCGCTAAATCAGGAACTGGTATCGCTGCCATGTCAGTGATGCGACCAGAATTGATCATGAAATCTATCATTCCCGTTGTCATGGCTGGTATTATTGCCATTTACGGTTTGGTCGTAGCTGTCCTTATTGCTGGTGCTTTGGAAGAGCCCTCAACTTACACACTGTACAAGTAAGTGTGTGCCAGTAGAGAATTTAGCGAAGTTTCAGTTTTTTCATATTGCTAATTTGTTTTACTTGTTTACTACCACTTCCAAAATTTGCAGGGGTTTCATTCATTTGGGTGCCGGTTTGTCGGTAGGTTTCTCTGGTTTAGCGGCAGGTTTTGCGATCGGTATTGTTGGTGATGCTGGTGTAAGAGGTACAGCACAGCAGCCGCGTCTCTTCGTCGGTATGATTTTGATTCTCATTTTCGCTGAAGTATTGGGTCTGTACGGTCTTATTGTTGCCATTTACTTGTACACAAAATAAATTAATTCAACAATTAAAACCACAAATCCAACATCTACATCAATTAAAAACAAAAATATGCAAAAAAAAAAAAAATCAACCAACCAAACAATCATTAAAATGCAACAAGCAACATCCATCAGAGAAATTTGTAATAATATAAACGCAGCAACAACCAAACAAAGCCAAGGCGAACGCAGGATCAGCGACAAGTATTAGATAAAAAGTAGCTGGCAAACAATGGTAAAAGCAGCAGCAGCAGCAACAACAACAACAGCAGCAGATCTCAAGGAGAGCCACAAGAATTGCTTGTAAAAAGCCAAAATGAAAATAAAGTTCCACGAATGGCTGATTTTTAGTATTGAAATATTCATAACGTCGATGAAAGGAAGAGACAAACGAGTTGTTGCGAGACAGTATTGCTTTACAAAATGCCTCAACATTCTGTATTTGCCTCGAGTCGCACACAATATCGTCTATATGTATGTCTATATATATATATATATATAACCCAGCTTTATTCTATTTATGTTACGTTACTTTATGATTTTAATTTATTTTTGGGGAACTAAGACCATTATCAACAACCAAAACAAAAAATTACAACAATTTATATTTGTATATACATAAAGTAACCAAGTGTTAAACTAAAAAGAAAGTCTGGGTTTCTTTTTCGCCGTGAATGCGCATTGGAAATAAAGTAAATACGGAAATGTTATTTATATTTCAACACTTACACAACTGCGATTGCAACGGAGAGCTAACGATCGCAACAAACGTCGCTGCCAATGTTTTTTTTTTGTTTTTTTAGTTACCGTGTTTCGTTAAAAAAAAAAAAATATTTTTGCTGTGAGTTTAAAAATTGCTTCCTCTTGTTGTCACGTGTTTATGCGTTTATATTACTAGCGATTTTCTAATTCGTTAATGTTTTTTCTGATATTTCCTTTTTGTTTCTGTGTAATTATAATTATAAATATTTTTCAACAACGTTTATTGTTGTTGTTTAAAGAAAAACTTGCGTATTCAAAGTAGAAAATGAAAACATAAATACTACAAACCAAAAGCAGTAAAAGTTAAAAAGCAAAAAACGGGAGTGGAATCAACCAACCAACCAACAAACTTATTAAATAAAATGTACATGTAAATTTAAATTTAAAATTAATATTAAATTTAATTAAATTTAAATAAAGAAAACAAAGAAACAGTATATAGTTAAAAAATATTAAATAATTAGTGAGAAACCACCAACAAAGCAACAACAAAGACAACCATCAAATGAACAAAAACCACCACCACCAAAAACAACAAAACGAGAACAGCACGTAAAGAACTGAATGCGAACCACACCACTTTCGGGGTATGCGTCTTTAGAAAAAGTGAGACGTCGCGGCCAATGTGCTTTGCAGCACAATTTTTCATTGAACTTCTGCTAAACGGTGATGTTTAGCACAACCTCTGAAGATTTAATACTTCACTTTCCCCACAGGGCGCTTGCGTGCACGCATATGAACAACACACACACACACACACACATCGAGGAACTGATTGCTTAACGGCAACCATATGCGCCCAATAACATTTCAACACCACCGCTTCAAGCCTACTTTTAGGCGTTATCGTTTTCAACGCCGCACGTCTGCACACGTGGTTCACATTGTTTTTGTTGCATTGATTGAAGCAAAAGACCCAATTGTTGTATACCAAAATGACAGCGCGTTACAATTAACACAATCGTATTGCTACAAATGAGCACGTTGAAACAACAAATAGTCTTTTGAAAGGGAAACACACACACCACACATCCACGCAAAATGAAGGAATGGTTGAAACAACATCGATTAAATCAGATCATCGGATCACATACCAACACACACACAACACACACTGTAACTAAGTCCCTATATATATATGTGTTTATTTTTAATTATTGTTCAATTTGTAAGAACTATTATTAATAATAATTATAATATATTTCTTTTTTCTTTTGTGATAAGCTTAAAAGGAAGTTGTTTATGAAACATTTGAAATTTCGAAGCGAAAACATAAAAACTACTAAATGGTATTTATATATGTATAACTATATCTATAAATACTTAATATACATACATACATAAACACATAATATAGATATATATATATAATTATTAAAAATAATTTACATACTATACATATTTAAACCAAATGGAAGCGCGTGAGCGCTGAAATTGTTACAAAAGCTAAACAAATTAGAAAACAAAAAGCGAAAAACAATATGATAAAGGAAGGTGTACGTGGCGTAGCATTTAAGGAAAAAAATACAAAAAAAAAAACCGTTAGAAGTTGATGCAATACGAAAACAAATCAGAGTTGAAGTATGTGTGCAGTTGAAAGTTGAACGCCATAGACAAGTAAAATATGACTTAGTGGCACACACATACACATACAATTCTGCAAATCACTTCCCGCAAGGCACTCACATACCGGATATTTCGCTACTTTGCCAAAAGTGGAAAAATATTCGCTGTGTGCTTCTGCAACCACACTAAACATCCACATTATTTCCTCTGTTATGTATAGAAATGCAAATAATTATATATATATATATACGAAATTATAAAAAGTAAAGAAATATTATGTAAAATCTTATAACATATTAAAAAAAGAAAATAACAAATATGTGCGTATTTAGTAAAATTTCGCTGAAGAAGATAAAATGTTAAATAAGCAGTAGTCGAAATCGAAAAGTATACGCTAGAGCGTTGAAACTCGAAGATGATGTAGTAGAAGAAATGAATTGAGGAAGTAACACAAAATGTAAAACAAAAATGTGAAAAATCAACAAAAAAAGAGTAAAATCCCCAACATAAAAATTAGAAATTTCGTTTACACAGTACCAAACAATTTGATTTGTTACTAATAAAAACAAAAGAAAGCGCGAGAGCAACGAAACCAAAGTGCACAGCGCACAGCGCACAACAGCAGTGCTGCAGCTTGCGCATACGTCGGTCGCCCCAGTGCTGCGCATACGCCTGCGCCCACCACGGCTATGTGCGCCACACACAATACTGCCAGTGACACGCTCCCCTTGCTAGCCGATGCGTTTGTGATGCTGAGAGCGCGGAGGTGTGCAACCTGCGAGCGTGCGCTACTGTTTGTCTACCCGGCGGTGCGTATACGTAAAGCGCTGGCCTATGTAGCCTGCAACTTGACGCTGCCGTATGGCAATGCTGCGCCGCTGCTGTGCGTCTGTGCGTGCTTGGGCGTCGCTGCTCGCTTCTGTGTGCAGGCGGCTACTGCGCTGTAGGACTTCTTCAAACAACAACAACAATAATTGGCGTACTAATATTTGCCTAAGCCATAACACAATTGTATTTGCATTGTATAACAACAACAACAACAACACACCTGTTGCACAAATTATATACATGCATGGATACATACATACATTATTCGTATTGAACTATTGTAATTACCTTTCGTTGTCAATTAGTTTATTAAGTGTTTTATATTAGTGCGTTTTTTTTATTTTTCGTTTGTTGTGTTGCTTTGTTGGAGATCTGCGCATCATTTCGAACACTGAACATTAATGCATTCGATAAGGCAGTCGCAGCAGCGTAAAAAAGCTAAATAGAAGCGTTTGCAGTAGCTAGCGTTGGCAGCAGAGCGGCAGTATATTTTAATTATTTTAGAACAAAAAATGAACATTTTGTATTGTACTTGTATTACGAACAAACAAATTACCATCAAAAGTCAACCAACAAACAAACAACTACTTGAGAGAATGAATAAAGTGTAATTTCTAATTTCCAACAAAAAAAAAAAAAATTCACTGGTGTTGCAATTATTTTTATTTAAGCGGGAGTGTTTGTTAATTGTTTTAGATAAAAATTTACGACGAACTCGGGAGACTTGTATGTTTTCATCGGCGGAACTTCGATCTGACCACGATTTAAGTTCTTAAACATATGATGGAAAGGCATTCGTCCCTACGAAACTCATCAGATGCAGAATGTTAGTGGTAACTAATTTCGAAAATTCGTAGAACATCATATCGCCTTTAAAAAATAAAAACTCAGACGAGAACTTTACGCAGCAACTATTTCTGAGAGTTTGAAAACCTTAATATGTCATTTACAAAATATTTTTCTCATTTACAAAAAGATGATGAATTGTCTGATAATTTCGAAAACTCGAAGAGCGTCATATTTCCTTTAAAAAATGGAAACTAGGACGAAAACTGCACGATAATTATTTTCGAAAGTTCTAAAAACAGCATATCTGCTTTACAATCATTTTTTAACTGCCTATTATTTCCGAAATGAGTCTTACGTGCAAATTTTGAACAATAACTAATTTCGACAATTCGAAGAACGCCACATCTGCTTTAGAAAATGAATTTTGCCTTCGCAATTTATCAGATAAGAATTCTGAGTGTATTTTCAAATTCGAAAATATGACCTTCCTTTAGAAAGCAGAAGTTTGCTTCGAAACTTATAGACGTGAATTGCGATTAATAACTAATTTCGAAAATTCGAAGAATGATCACATTCTTTGGTTATAATTTTTTAACTGCTTTATATTTTTGAAATTAGTCTTGGATGAAAATTGTGATTTCGAAAATTAGAAGAATGTCATACATCTTACAAAAGGGTACTTTTCTTCAAAATTCAGGCACAAATTTTGAGATATAGATAACTGAAATGTACTTCGAAAACTTGATCGCGGTACATATGCACGGTCCTGTTAAAGCAAAATTGCTTTTGCCTTCGCAAATCATTAAATTATTTTTAAGTTTGTATATATTTTCTTTAATTGACTAAATATGACACAATTTCAGACTAGCTTAAGGAAAATATTTTCATAATTATATACATTTCGCTTTATTATTAGACAATTTGCACGAAGTTCTCATCATCAACAACTTTAAAGCGTTTTTGGCGATATGTATCCAATTCGAAAATATATTTTTTAGAACATGCTTTCATCATTTTGCCAATCACAGGTTTGAGTTTCGTTATGCCTGCTGTAACTGCCAAGTCTTCGTAGTAATGAAACTAAAATGTGATTTGTGATTATTCAAAAGTTGCAAAAGCAATATTTGTTATGTAAGTTAACTTGCCTGCTTTACGCCCATTTTGTGCGCCACACGTTTCGATACACCATTCGCCCAGCGCTCCTGCATATCCGTCTCCATTTCCGCTAGCATATCGGCGCGACTAGGCAACTCCTTGTGTCCCGAAAAGTAGGCCAACACGAAGCGTGCTTGTAAGTCAAAAAGTTGAGCTGGACATATTTGATGTGGCAAGCCAATTATGCCCATTGAAGGCTTATTGATATTCAAACAGTGCTTGTAAAGTGGATGCACCCAATTGACATCCACATTTAGACCGCAGTCGACGCTCAGAAAGGGGAAGGTGTACTTATAGCCAGTGCAGAAAATCACGAATGAAAACGAAGCGCTGCTATCATCTTTGAAAATGGCGCCATCTGCAGTGAAACGCTGAATGTCGGTCTTTTGCGTGACGTTCGGCATGAAGTCCGTACGCGGTTCAGTCTCCAAATGGTGACTGAAATAAACGTGCTCAGCATGCTGGTGAATGTGATGTACAATATCGATGCCACTCGGACCGCCGCCCACAACCAGTACGTTGTGACCTGTGGATAATAATTGATATTATGGACCAGTGAGGTGTCTCCCTTTTTATTAGTTTGTTTTTAACGGGAAAATCCTTTTGACATACCTCTGAAAATATCGGGTGTCCGATAGAGATGACTGTGCAAGCGCTTGCCTTGATAGCTATCAAGACCCTCGGTATCCGGATACATGGGTGTCGTGAAGTGTCCATTGCAAACAAAAACAAAATCGAAAAATTCCACAAAATACTTATCGCTTTTCAGATCGTGAACGATAACCTGCATTTAACAAAGTAGTGAAAAAAAATCGATTACATAACTTAATCATAACTGATTTTTGGAGTATTCAGCATAAATTAAAATAGAGTTGAACTTCCATAACTCGAAGTTCTCCACGACTTTTGAATTGGCTTCAAAAGTCAAATTTCCTACATATTTCTTTCGATAACTCGAATTCCCTCTAACTCGAAGATTTTTTTGTGGATTGTGATGATTCGTGTTAGGGAACTTCAACTGCATATTATCAGAAGTTTTATGCATAAAAAGTAACTGGTCATGCTCACCTCCCAGCCTTCGCCACACGGTCGCACTCTTATTATCTCATGTTCCAATTTTATATAAGGTGTTAACTTAAAGTGCTCTGCATAATTCTCTAAATACTCCAATACGAGTTCCGAGCTGATAAAGGACTCTTCTATATTCATATCGAAATCATAGTCCGGAAAGCCCATCACTTCCTTAGGCAGATTTGTGCTGAAAATGTTACAAATATTATAAAATTATCCAAAAATTATTTTCATAATTGCTTTCGCTCACTGTAATCCCTGATACATGCTGCTATGCACGTCTTCCTCACTTTCACCCGCCTTACGTTCCATATAAATCCACGTACCACCAACGGCTGTATGCCGTTCATACGCCACTGCCTCTAAATGGTGTTCCAGCGTATTCTTTAGTGCCGTTAGTCCTGCCATACCGGCGCCTATTACACAAACCCGCTTTTTGGAACTCATTTTCTTGTATTTCGAAAAAATAAATAAAAAATTGTGTGGGAATCTTCCAGCGTGCAGTACTCTACTAGGTCTCTTGGCGATTGAGCGAGCACCTTTGTTGTCTGCATGCATACCACATATAAGTAGTTGTCTTTGACTGAAATTAAATGTCGAACACGCTCTTGCTTTCGTATACGTTGGTAGTGTTTTGCTAGTTTTATTATAAAACTCGCAATCTCTGAGTTTGCAGCTTATCGGCAATACATATAAGCAAGTAAATGAGATCGCAGATACTCCTACTTAAGTGCCTCAGTGGCGTAAGAGAAATACTGATTATTATGCTCTTAAATTTATTTTTGACTTATCTCTTTATTACATTTGCGTATAAATACTGAGAATATGCAATTAGGGACCAAATACATATATATATGTATATGGTAGTCGAAAAAGTCTTTTCGTATTTTTAAACAAATATTAACTTATTTGTTTTTAATTTATAATAATATTTTTTTTGGTTAAATAAAGCTTAAAATCTCACCTTTCAACACTATATGGTATAACACAATGCGATTGGCAGCACTGGAGAGATACGTCTGCAACAACATAGTACATATATTGACAAAATACGAAAATACTTTTTCGACTACCCTATATACATATATGTATATATATCCAAGACTTTAAAATATTTCTTTGGAACCTGTATAATTAAAATAAAATATTAAATTGTTCATCAAGAAAATCGGTACCAAAATTAAACTCTTCCAAAAGCTATTTTCACCATTAAATAATTAAAAGTTTTCTTAATAATATTAATTTATACACTTTACCTATGACCGCACTAGATGACCTCGATATTGGGGTATAAAATGTGAATAGACTAGGAATTCTAGTTTTGTTGATTTTGTGTGCTTTCTCTTTACTCTTGTTTAAATAACAGTAATGATAAGATTTTAGCATGTCAGCGAAAGATTTATCTTATTTTTATGGCTGTCTTCAAGTCATAATCTTAGTTAAAATAAATTAGATTTGTCTAGCAAAAAAAAAAAATATATATATAGATACTGCTTTATTCGTCTAATGCAGAGATTAGTTGTGCTCAGAGAAAAAAAGAGAGAGTCGTTCCTACTAGCATTATTAAGAGAGCTAAAATATTATGGAACAACCGTTTATCCTGATTATATGAGTAGATGCCCTCGTTTTGAAGATGTAGGCTCGCTCATCGCATGTTTCTCTTTAAACTGAGTCGTTGCTTACTATTTTATCGCACTTGTATGTTGTGGAACCTCAAATGGTTCGGGAAAACGAAATATTGAAGATCGTTAGAACCTCAGCGTTTTCGTTTTTTGTTTTGATCATGCCAGCTGCTTCTTCATCTAACATAGGCTCTTATTTTATCCTACGAAAGGAAAGTGCTCCGCTGTTTAATCACCCTTCGAAAGAAACATCTTAGCGTTGAAGATAGAAAATTTGGTTTACCTTCTTCTACCTTCCACCTTTGTGTTTTCGCTTTTTATGTTTGGATGATGGCGAGCTTCTCTATCTAACTTTGCTATCGGCTGTTATTCCATCCTACAAAAGGTAAAAAAGTTCATCCCGGTTTAAGCATGCTCCTAGTTGGTTTTTGGAGCTGAAGATAGAAAGCTTTGGCCCACCTCTTTCCAAACAAGAGTAAGATCTAACATTTATATTGCGCTTTCTCCCAAAAATGTTCAGTTTTGTAATTTTTCTTGCTTCTTTATTTAGAGTATAGTATTCAGTATTTGTTTTTACACTTCGCCTAATTTAAATTGTACAAAATTCTCGTTGTCTATCACCTTAAAAGCCGTTTTTCGGTAGTTTTGTAAATCGTAAAGAAACTTGCCACCACAGATCTTCGAAAGCTTTCTGATCACTGGTCTAATATTGTCGATTCCCGTCAATGCCACCAGCTCATCATAATAGTCGAACTAAAATCAAAAATATTTTATAATATATAATATATTTATTTAAAATATGTATATAAAATAAAAAAAATAAAAAAAATATTTTATGGCTTTCCACTGCCACTCACCTGTCGCTCGCCCACTAAATGCGCTTTCCTGCGCGGTAGGCCACGTTCTCTGCGCTCAGCTAAATCACGTTCCGTATCGGCCAGCATATCTTCCGCACTTGGCAGTTGCAGTTTTCCACTATAGTATTGCATTACAAAACGCATTTGCAAGTCGAACAATTGTATGGGATAGGCATAGATCGGCAGCCCAATGAAACACATTGTGGGATGGTAGATATTGATGCAGTGCTTGTAGAGCGGGTACACCAAATTGTCGTGCACTTGCAGGTTGCAATCAGCGCTGAGGAAAGGTATCGTCAGGTCGTAGCCTGTACAGAAGACGATATGCGTAAAGTTGGCTTTCGTGCCGTCCTTAAAGATGGCGCCGTTCTCCGTGTAGCGCTCCACAACCGGTTTCTGCACAACATTCGGCATAAAATCGGTGATTGGCGGCTTTTGTTGCAGATGATGACTTAGGTAAATACGTGCGGCGTAGGGGTAAATGTGGTGGGTGATATCCATACCGCTGCGGCCTGCGCCCACCATAAGCACGGTGGCATCTGTGAGGTGGAGTGTTTACAAAAAATTAGTGTTGTTGGGATTTAAGATATCGGTAGAACACGGTATATATACTAAATAAGTTCAACGTAAAGAAATATAAGCATAAAGCCCCGATATGCCTTGATTTTTTTTTTTTTAATAAAAAGCTAATAAGTATTGGGTAGTCGAAAAAGTGTTTTCGTATTTTGTCAATAGTTATCGTTGCAGTCATATATCTCCAGTGCTACCAATCATATTGTGTCATACCACATACTGTTGGAAAGGGTCTCACCTTTTAAGCTTCGTTTAACAAATAAAAAGTTGAAAAAAAGTGACAGCTGTTCAAAAAAGAGTGAAAATAATGACGAAATTCCCTATATTTAGAAATTTTCGTATAAAATAGCAAGCCAGCAACGAAATTTGTAAAGCTTACGGAGACAATGATGTATCAGTTCGTGTAGCTCAACAATGGTTCCCTCGCTTCCGTTCTGGTCGATCCCTGGTCGATTTATCGTTGATAAAGTCGATAAAATTATGCTCAATGACCGTCACATTAGCAGCCATGACATCGCTAAAGAACTTAACATTCATCATTAAACGGTTTGAAACCATTTAAAAAAGGCTGGCTACAAAACGAAACTCGATGTTTGCGTACCACATGAATTGTCTGTGAAAAATTTAATGGAGGGAATTAACGTCTGCGATTCTTTGCTGAAACGAAATGAAATCAAACCATTTCTGAAGCGCATGGTAACAGGAGACGACAGGTGGGTCAAATACGATAATAATTTGCGAAAAAGATCATGGTTCAAGCGTGGTGAAGCTCAACAAATGGTCGCAAAGCCAGGATTGACGCCTCGAAAGGTTATGCTGAGAGTTTTTGGTGGGATTGGAAAAGAATTTTCAACTATGAGCTACTTCAGCCTGGTCGAACGATTAATTCTACATTTTACTGTCAACCGCGGATGAGATTGAAGCAAGCAATCGAAAAAAACGGCCAGAACTGATCAACAGAACGCGCTTCGTCTTCCATCAATCAACGCTAGACCATACACATCTTTGATGACTCGGCAAAAACTGGGAGAGTTTACTGGGAGAGTTTAGCTGAGAAGTTTTGATGCATTCACTGTATAACCCTGACCTTGCGCCATCGGACTAGCATTTCTTTCGCTATTGGAGTAAAGTTGGCTTCAAGGGAATCTTATGAAAATTACTTGTCGCAGTTTTTCGCCTACAAACCAAAATGGTGCAAATTTTGTTCATTACAGTTCATTATAAATGTAAAAAAATTTGAAGTTTGATTAGAAATACGAAAAGACTTTTTCGACTACCCAATATTATATTTTAAAGTAGATTGAAAGTGGGAAATTAATATATTTTTTTATAGCAACAAAATCGACTCAAATCTTAAATTGTTTTTTATACCTTGAACAGGGTATATTAAGCTTGCTACGATGATTTTAACATGCAAATGGAAACATCGGAGAATACAGCTGTTGGTATACGTCTAAGCGGGCATTATTTTAATAATAATAATCGGTTTGCAGCGGTTGAGATATCGGTATGAAATTTTGCATACAACCTTTTTTCGTTAAGAAGATAATCACTTGTCTTAACCACCGATATCGAAAAACTATAGCATAAAACTCCACAAACGCCACAAACTGCATGATCGGAATCAAGTACTTGCATGGAAAACTTTTTCATTTGACGAGAAATCTTCACGAAAATTGGCTTGGGCTATTGTTTAAAATAATAATGAAGTATTCGCTAAAATTGTTCAGATCGGATCACTTTAGCATATAGCTGCCATACAAACTGAACGAACGAACCGAACGGAATCAAGTTCTTGCAAGGAACCTTTTGTATTTTTGAAGTGTTTCTTTTCGTTTTTTTATTTTTTTCTTCTATTTTTTGGAATATAGTTGCCAGTAAGGTTATCATCGTTGTGATTTGTCTACAACAGATGTTTATATTCCAAAACGAAGACGTCTGCTTGTTCTCATCGCCCATATTTGTATTTAATTAACACTGGTTGGTGATAAGCCATAAATACTTTGAATTGAGAGCATTGAAATGAACATTGAAGTTCTCGCGAAATTAAAAACAAAATAATGATACTATTAAAACAAGTCTGCAAAGCGAATGCACAGTGCGCATCCATATATACCTATGCTCAGATATAGTATGTTTATGAGTGAAAAAATAAATAATGGCGGCATAGCGACTCACCTTTGAATGTCTCTGCTCTGCGAAAGACATGACTGTGTATTTTATGGCCTTTAAAAAGATCAATGCCCGGCGTGCGCGGATAAGAGGGCGTCGCATAGCGTCCGTTGCATATGAAAATGTAGTCAAATTGCTGTGTCGTGTAGATGTTGCTTTGTAAATCCAGCGTTAACACCTAGCAAGGACAGTAAATTATATTAATTAAACGTAAATTATATTGTTTATTGTAATTTGCTCACCTCCCACTTGCCATGCAATGGACGCACGCGTACCACTTCCTGTCTTAACTTGATATGAGGTAGTAGTTTGAAGTGCTCGGCGTAAGATTGAAAGTATT